TTTGCCTAACTTGCAGCAGAGAATTTTTGGTATCTCACATCAAAACAGAAAGTGAATGTTCTTTCTGAATATGGTGAGCAGATGGTAAATCAAACATTTAGTTTATTAAGTGCAGATCAACAAATAGACTCTTAGCTGCTGGAGGAGATATCTAAGAAACAGACAATAATCCAAAAAATAACTGAACAGCACCTTGAGCATTGAAATATATAGTGATACACATCTGGAATATTGTAATTCAAAGGATAAAATACTTCTAGAAGTACTACAGTGCCCCAGATAGCACAGAGAGAAAACTGAACCTCTGTAGTATTTGTCAAGCAGCTCCCCCTCGGCTGCTACAAACTGACCTGTAAGCTGATGCTGTTAGCAGATGCCTATCACAGGAGCACAGAAAAGCAGGACTACGCCGGCCGTCAGAGGTCAAACTGCTGCCTTAGGTACTTAAGCGGTAGGACGCACAGCCTTTTCAGAAGTACTTAATCACTTTATACACTGAAATTCTCTTAGACCCGTTAATGAACTGTGCAATAAAACAGTGAGGATGAACAGAATAAAACCAAGTTCCACTATGCAGTTACCAGAGCTCCCTACTGTGGTGAGGATGTGACTTGAACAACTCTAATGAAGACGACTGTGGTTGTCCATGCAATATTGCACTTCCTGCAGGGTCTAACTTTTAAGACTGAAATTATGTGGAATAGGAACTGAAAACATTCCTCAGCCAGTGAGGAACACAACTCTATTTACAGTTCTCCTCAAACCAGATACTTCCAGACATTCCCTACTCACACACTAGCCCTGCAGTGCTCCCTCCCTGAAATCCCATCAGGTGGCAGGTTTAACCAGAAGACTCTAATGTAACAGGCCTGCATATTCTATGGAACAGCTGCTGTTGAATATTTTTTCAAGTAAATAATATTTCTCCAAATAAATAATTTTTGTTTCAAATGAAGCAAACTGCATATCAGTAGCTAACATATTTTGTATCACTAGAATTTATATTATAAGAGGATGAAAAAAAATCACAACAGATTTCTACAGTCTGCATTACAGCTTTGATTTTATTTTGAAGTGTCAGACTCTGTGTCACTGAAAGCAGACATTCCCTTGATGGTATTTTTACGCTGCCGACGCAACAGACGCTCAACTTGCCAGGCTCTCTCAGCAGAAAACTCCATTAAGACAAGAAAGCAGCTTCTATTTTTTTATGAAAGCTACAGCAAAACTTAATGCATAAGGCCTTTAATCAAGCAGCTACATAATCATTTAAAATGAGTTCTACTCCAGACTCTTAGATTGCAGGAATTGTTTCCATTTTGGTTGCATAAAGCAACCCAAGGCACTCTGCTCCTGCCAAATCAAGACACAGCTTGTCAGCGGGATCTGTCACCTCCAGGCTTTCTAGGGCCTGTTGTGGTTAACATCCAGGGCTGGTGAGAAAGCACCGCAGTAATGCTCTGCCATCACTTCTCTGCTGGGTTCCCAGTGTCCTCAGACCCATCATCTGATGCCCTGCCCTGTTCATTATCAACATGACTCGCCTCCCAGCCTGCAATCTCGACTGACTTGACTAACCTTTATTCATTTGAGGACGGTGATGATGACAATGAAGATGTCACTATTTGAGGCAGGCAACACTGCTCATACTGAAAGTTTTCCATGGGGGTCTCCGTCCCATTCCTGAAGTGGCAGAGATCTTCTGAATGGTAATCTGCTCTGAAAAGCTGGTCTCCAGAGAGCTGCCCTCTCCTCCAGTTGATGATTTTGCTCCTGCCTCTGCTGCACACATGACGTATACACTGCATTTGTGTTTTTAAATGTGTGTATTACTTGAATACCTGCAATATCTCAAAAACACAGACTTTCTTATATGAAAATCGCTTTGCTGCCCATCAAATCACTATCACACCCCTTGGAAATTTATTCTTCACAGTTAATGTGATATGGCTGTGATCCTTCTTTTACAGGTGGGCTTGCTGAGAGACAGGCAGGCATACCATGCATTTTCTCCTAAATTCAGCAGCAGATCTATGAGTGAGAGAATCCAGAAATCCTCCTAGCTCCCTCTTCCATGGTCTGAACTGTACAAAACATGGCACTAACGTCAAAGGACATCAAATACTGACATACAAAACCTGATTTTCTTAGCTACTGTGTGATATAAATGATCATTTTTGAGAAATGTGTCTTTTAAAAATAAGGCAGTGCATATGAAGGCAAACATTAGCTCAAGTCTTGCATAATTGATACTGCAATACCCTCTTGTGGTGAAATGAAAATATTCTGTCTGAACACCTGAACTTTCTCCTCCATAAAAAGTCTCTCTAGCCATCTTTTCCTTTGACAGGGGGAAATAAATAACTCACATATTTTTCACAGATGAATTTGTAGTGCATATCATCACTTGTCTGGCAACAACAAAAGACTAACCTCGGTCAAGTTCTTTCTCAGAATGATGGGCACAACACTGCTTGTCAAATAAATTAATCCCAAACCAAACTCAAGGCTTCAGCTCCTACAGTGACTTTTTTCAAGTTTCATGTCCCCAACCAGAAAAAATAAAGGTGCTATAATCAATTTACACAGACACATAAGGCATGAAGCCGCAATAAACATCAACCTATTCTACCACAGAATGAAAAGAAGTACATAGTAAATCAGTCGTACCAATACAAACGAGTTCCCTCCTTAAATGCCCCAAGAAATGCTAAACTGGCAGATGGTAATATGAGGGGAAACAGTTCAGCATCTGCAGCAGTACTGCTGAGCTGTTTATCTAGTAAATGGCCTAAATGGGCTACTAGGATAACCAGTAAGGAATGTAAAGTAACACCCAGAAATTTCACCCTTGCACTCACCCTGATGTGCTTTAATGGTGCATAAGCACTAACTCAATGACTTCTGGTCCCAACAGAAAAGGGGATAATTTTCAAAATATCAGCTCTTAGTGATCTGGTTTTGGAACAGCAGCTATATTTTAAAGTCATATTATTATAATATTTTTAAAAACCCAATTTATTTAAACAGCCATGATCCCATTCCCATCTCTTATTTCCAGAGAAATGGCTTGAACACTCTGAAATGTCCAATATCCGCATGTAGACTCACAGCTTACTTTTGTTTAAAGCCTAAAGACTTCCTTCTTTTCTGAGATTGTGGCATCTCAGACCAACAGATCCGGCTTTGATCTGTGAGTTCACTTTCAGTAAGATGTTCTGAGAGGCACTTCGTAGCCCTACACCTGCACAAAAACCAGGGTAGCTACTACTCCTGCATCTTTGCAGAAACCACTCAATGGCACAGACTTTAAACACCTACTTGTAGTCTTTCCATCCAGTTTATTCAGTGACTACAAGTAGTCATTTGGAAGCTAAGTACTCAGCTCAATAACCATTCATTATTATGTTTAATTTGCAGAAATTGACTTGAAGGAAGGATTAGAATCAAAATAACACCAGAACTTTGTAAACAAGAATTAAAAAGCATTCTATTAACAGAAACAGACTTTCCATCAGGATCCTTTCCTGACCTGATCAGGAGCTAAAATCCCATGCACACTGATTAATGCATTAGGTCTTCCAAACATGCCTCAGCTTCCTTTTAAAGCAGTTAGATGCTGCTAAAACCTCATTCTCTAACCAGCTGCACACACTCCAACTTGGAGAGGACCCTGGAACAAATGCAGCAGGATAAGCAGATTCCACAACAAAGTCAGCTATCGGATCAGGTTGGCAAACGGTTCATTTCTTTAGTTCATGATAATGCTGTGTGGATACATGACTTCTTTTGCTTTTTGGCTGAAAGAAATTAAAAACACTATTTAGGTTTCAATTATCTCAGAATACAATCAAACAAACAAAAAGTCTACTAAAATTTAATGCCCAAAGCAAACACTATGATTTGAGGTGGAGTTTAATCTCTACTTTAGTTACACTACTGCAATCTTCAAAGTCAGAATAATTTTTCCAAATATAGAAATATTTCTTGCTCAAATATGCTACATGAAATCTTTGGGTTGTTGTATAGTTGCAACTATTTTAAAATAAATTATTTGCCAAATTCATTATGTATTTCCCAATACTGCAAGCAAGTAAGTTTGCCAAAAACCCTCTAAAAAAAGTAGATTCAGAGTTCATTAGCATTTACCAGGAAGATGAAGCAAGAGGCTAGAATTCATCTGGAGCTAATCCACACTATTCAAAAAGTCAGTCAAGAATTTCAGAGGAAATTTATACTTATACTCTTGTTTTCCTGCAAGGTCACAAATACTTGAGGAAGTGACTTCATACCACAAAAACCCAATAGGCTGACTGTAAAGACAAACACTGACATTCTGGACACTGTTTTGAAAAGTCTCACTTTGTACACTAATAAACCTTTAAAGTTGCTTAAAAACTACTTCTTATAGTTGCTTAATAACTTCTGCAGACTTTTGATGATCTCTGGATGCTTTTTTTTTTTTAAAAAATCTGAAAATAAGGATCTTTCAAAGCACAGATTCGTTGAAATAGCTTATTTTAAACAAACAAGCTCTGCCCCAAATAGAGTTCAAGGCCCCAGCAGTTGTCCCATTGGGTCTCTGCTCCCTTCCTGGTGAATATTCACAAGTCAGACTCGTTTCCAATGGAGACAGTAAACACACCAGGGAAACCAGCAGCTCTCAGATTTTGCTTCTGCTACATAACCACAACAAAAGTCCTCCTGATATATTCAGCAGCAATCTCCACAGCACCTTTTGCTACTAAACCAGACTTTATTGTTCTGAGGATTTTGAATAGAAGGTGGTCTCAGCTGCAAGCAGCAGTAATCACCTCATAAACTGAGAGTTTGCTGGTTACAGCTGGAGATTCAATGGTCTTCAGTAACAGTCATTTCTTACAAAATTGCTGTTACCATGAAAACTCCCTCAGCGTTCAAGCAAGGAGGCAACATAAAGCAGTAGGAAATGAGTGTTAAATAAGAGGGAAGTAAATGAGTGCTGAGCACTGCCTGTCAGTGCTGCCCTGCATGTCTGTTTTCTGAAAGCACTCCAAATCGGCAGCTAAAAAAATACATTAGGAGAGAAGGAACTTTGAAAGTGCAAACAACAGCAGGTTTAACTTTCCTAACAGTCATAATATAACTAACAATACTGGGGATACAGTAACTCTCAAAATGGACAAGTTGCGAAAGAGTTCTGGATTCAGGAGAAATACCTTGGTTAGGTCTTGGCAACCAGCAACCACACCTCTGGGGCAACCAGCCTCAGCTCCATCTCTGTCTCTTGGCAGCACCAGACCGAGATCTGTCTCTGCACAACTGGCTACTCAGGCCTGGGCAGATGAGCAGGCAGCACTGCAGCAGGACCAGGTACAACAGGATAAGATCTGGAGAGAGTCTGTGGAGGCTGAACAGAGGGGAAGAAAAATCTGGTAAGTCACTTGCTGCAGTTCATTCCTCTTCTCCTTGTCTTGACAATGGTACTGATGCTCCCTCAAAGTCTTAGGGCTTGACCCAAAGCCTACACTATCAAAAGAAATCTTCTTTGGTGGGGACTTTGCATCAGAACTTAACACTTTTCTTTCTAAGATTATATTATCTCTGTTTTCCTTCACTGGACAAAATCTATGTTAATATCTCCTGGAATGCTGAAAAGAGATGCAAAGAACTGCATGCTAAGTATCTTTTAGCTTTATAGAGACTTCTACAACTCAGATATAAATGTGCCAACCTTTATAATTTATTGCAGACACACTGATACTATCACCTCTTCTCCGACTCTTGGAAATGACTGTAATGGAAGCTGAACAGAGTGTTCTGCCAAAATATGATTTTGCATTCCCACTCTGTAAATCTGCTGAACATGCCCCATTGTTAGAGTGTTTCAGCAGCCTGAACTGCATACATAAAACCTAAGTTTTGACTGTGTATGCACCAGTGACCTGAAGGAACCTGACATTAAGATCCTCTCTGTCTCTGTCACATATCTTGAAGAAGTGTTTATGTTCATACTTCAGTACACAGCATGAGCATGCCTATTAGAAGACACTTGGTAAAAGTAAAATCAGATCCAGTTCCAACTGCGTACTAGCTAAGCTAAAGGAAAGGGAGAACATCACTCTCAGGATTTTTTAGAATGGGAGAAAAAAACATCTGAAAAGCCCTGTCCTCCTTATCCCTCTGGAGGACATACAAATCACAGCTCTGATTTCCCCAGAGACACATCTGCAGTCTTGTCTGGCTCCTTTTACCTGAAGGCAAGGCTGATGCCAGGACTCTGACTCATGCAAAGCCAGGGCCATGGTGGCAATGTTACTCTCCCCGTTGTGGACTCAGACTCTTCTCAAACAGGTCCAGTATGTTCCATACCCATTCTCTACTTAAAGCAGCAGGAGGGACTCTCTGTCTCTGCCTGCCTCCTGGGGTTCACAGTCATGGATATTGGTGCAAACTCACCTTCATGGGAAAGTAAGGTAACACATCACACAACTGATGCATGTCCTGCTCTCCAGTCTTAGCTACAAAGACAGAAACTCTTGTAAAAGGGTGAGACAGACATGTGAAGGACAGATGCCTAAAGATGGATTCATCAGATTACATCTGTACTGCTTGCAGAGAACTGTCCTTCAGCTCCACATTCCCATCCAAACACAATGATGGGGAAAGGCTGCTACATGTTGGTGCTCTGACCTGGAGTGGATGTAGGTAAATGTCTGAGACCCAAGCATTTCTCAGTAATTAGCACCATCCAGTAACACTCAAATCCGGTATGTTCAACTAGTGGCTGGCATAGCAAGATAAAAAATTTTAAGACCTCTATGCTGTGTTGGTACACTAAGACATCTAGTGATAAACACAACAATCATAAATTAGCTTTTATTTGAACTTAGGGCATATCTGCACTTATTGGAGGAAAGCAGCACAGAAATCCAATGCTCCTAACTCCACGTGGTACATGGCTGTGCTGTACTGATGAGCTCAACTCGGAAGGATGTACAACTTCAGCACTAGATCGATGAGGTTAGAGGCAGCACTGTACAGACACAGGTAACCAGCTCAGTCAAGCCAGGTGTCCCTTGAGCCCCGCTGCAAATACAGTTGTAGATAAATGTTTCCTCTCTTGACCTCACAGTACTTTTACAATTGCAGGTCAACTTTTGTTTTCTCCATTTCAGGCCAGAGAAAGCCAAGGACAGAAAATCAAAGGACTTGCCCTGTAGTCCCATACCACGTATAGAATAGAGCTGAAGAGCAAAACTCAGGTCTTCTGACTCAGTTTGCTCCTAGGACAGCTGCCTACCTGCACAAAAAACTCCCATAGGTTGCCTGCAGCAACTACAGCTCTGAGTATTCCTACCAGGGACTTCTGCTAGCAGAGTATCAGTCATTTAAAAAATAAGAAGCTGTGTTGCACTCAAGGTATGGGACAAAAGTTTGCTAAAGTGACTCAGGACTTTGCTAATTTATCTGAATTTGCACAAGGAATACACTGTGGACATGCTATCCTCATCCTCCTTTAGCAAAAATACCCCACTACTCCTCATGTAGTATAGGCTCTGTATGGGAATAAAGAAAATCTTGGGTGTCAATCACAGGAAAGACAGATTTCAGGACAAGGAGTTTGCAGGTGTAAGATCAAATTGAGCAGTTAAATAGGCATTCAAATATGACCAGCAGTAACTATTTTATTTAAAGACAGAAAATTTTACAGTGCATTTTTTGCTTCTATTCTAAGGCACCAGAACTGGAGTTTCCTAAAGGACTATGACCAAATGGTAAGTTTTGAACAAACATTCAACTGTAATCCAGGCTCTTTTTAGTTTTTGTCAACCTGAGCAAGGCTAATATTTCGAACTGAAGCATACTTAGGCATAAGCAGCAAATGCTTTAAGACTAAAATCTTTAGGAAAAATAAAAGAGAACTGAAGTGCCTTTCATCTGCTACCTATGACACAAAGAAATACAGTAGGTTCAATCTGTTTCAGTATTAACAACTCCACAGAAAGACAGGTGCTAGAAGAGCCAACTTCCTTGGAGAAAATCTGTAAGATAATGTCATCATGCTGAAATCCAAGCCACTTACTAAAAATGAAACCAAAAACCTTCCACATCACGACTATTCTAGAGCAGGCTAACTTCTGTCCCAGCTGACATTTTATGCAACACATTTGAAAATTATTAATTTCCCTGTGTTGTCCTATTCCCATGTAAGGCAAAAGGAAAAAATAATAATTTTATTTCTTCAACACTTTTATGTACATTCAGTATGACATTTTAAAATATATTTAAATTCTAATTTCAAAAGCAGAAGTGCTGATATTATAATAATCTTGGTAGCTTTTATTTTTGTAACAAGCAATGGATGCAATTCTGAAAACTTAGTAATGGTCTTTGTTTCATCCAGGGTAAGAAAAAGGAGCAGAAGCCACTGCCAAACTATATGCCTGTGTTCTCAAGTGAAGTTCCCAACTCCACCAACCAGACTATTGGTAGTCGAATGAATACTGAACTTGGCAGGGCTCTGGTAAACATGGATTACTTCTTCAGCAGTGGAGCACGAAAGAGGAAACTCGAGGGTGAACTCCAGCCTTCCTAGTGCTTCCATAAAAATATAACAGTAACAAAGCAAGTTGAATGGTTCTAGCCAAAAGACTCCACAGCATGTAAGAAAATTCCTCAGTCTTTTACTCAGAGAGATCAATACTACTGCCTAGCATGGATTTTCTTTCAAGAGCGTGTCCAACAATGCCGTAGAAAATAATCCTCTTCCTATTTGGGGTGACCAGGCCATATACAGAGAATTAGGACTACAGATCTCATCCATCTTCCCACGCAAGTCTACAGTAAGGTTGCCATTAACATCAGAAAGAGTAAGATTACAGCCCAAAGGCAATTTCTTCCTGATTTTTTATCTCCTGAAAATAAACAATTAATGGAGACCCACTCAAGTAAGTCCCAACATAAACAACATACTTTCAGTTTTGAAAGTCAGTACAATAAAATGCAGAAGCTTGTTGCATTTTTTGTAGTTAGTCAAGGATTCATCAGCCTCTGTCATCTGCATGTTTAAGCTTGCTCTAAAGAATAAAATTCAAAGCATGTGAGACATGTCCTGTGCTTTTTTCATCCCTCCCTGCTGAGGGAGGGCAGAGCAAATTTTTTTCACATTAGTTTTCGGTTTTGTTTCTTTAGATTTCCTGTTCTCAAAGTCCCTTCTCTTTTTTTTTTTTTTTTCCTGGTTTAGCTGATGGAAACTCACTGACAACAAGGCAGGCTTTCACTTCTTGCTCTGAGGGCGTGTTGGCTCAGCAACCTGTCTTACACTCTTAGGATCATCAACCTTGAATTTAACAGGTTCATAGTTCCTAAAATCAGCGGTTGCCCAGGGAAACCATCATCAAGCTAAATCAACAAAATACCAAAACCCTGTTCACTACTGCATCTTCATTACATATGACCTGTCACTCTGTAGGGAAAAAGCAGTAATCAGCAAAGCATGGAGAGTGTACATACAGTATCTGACTTTTGAACTGTATGTAGCTTCTGTAGGATCATGCTCAGTACTAGGCGGAGATCAGCAGAGAAGCCATTATCATTGCCTTGATACACCAGGCTGCAGTCTCTCACCAGACTAAGGTGGATGAGTGTATACTTATGCTTTGCAACTGTGACTATTTATGATTAGACTCCAGCAGCAGTAGGCAGTTCAAAAGCACAAGAGGTGGTATGGAACGGTGTGATCACCGTCAACATCCAAGTGGTCTGTGGAAAAAAAATCAAACCAAAGAAGAGCCAGATCCCACTCACTGAAGCCATGGCACGAGGCAGTTCACCTCCTGGCTTCCTTGACACAGCAAGAACTGGAGGATTAAGGCTTCCAAGATGACAGCTAAACTACCTAAAGAGGAAGACCACATCATGCAATCAGCCCAAGTGAGGAGGACTGATTCTACTCTGTGCAGACATAAACTGTGATAGACAACTGTGTTCAGACATACAAAATGGGTACCTACTCTTTAAGAAAGACATACTGTTCAGCTAAAATGCTTTCTGCTCTCTCCTGTGAGCAGAAAACTGTACCAGGAACTAGTTTGTCATCAAACATCTGAAACAGGGAGAGGAGAGAGCAGATCAAGCCTTTCCTTGTCCCTGTGTTTCCAGAGGTTCTTCCAAAAACTGCACAGGCCACTCACAGGTTACATATTTACTGATGACTGCATAGTACTGAAAGTCATTACACTTGCATGCTCTACTCTGGGACATCCTGAGCAGTGTCAACTCTTGCTATGGGTCACAAACTATACTAAGTGGCAGATGTCCAATGTCTTTCAGGCTCAAGCTCCTATTCATGTAAGAACATTTAATTTATAAAGCATGGGGATTATTTTTTTTTTTTTAGCAAGAAAACATACAGAGCTCTATGTTTCCTAACCTCCAGATGGCACTCGCTCCACATCAAGTAATCCACTGAAAAGGACACTAAGTTATAGCAAGGCAGTGTTACACAATTCTTTTTTCATTTCAAGGGACATTAAATAATTTCAGATTCCTGTGTCCAGATTCAGATTCTTTGCTGTGTCCAGAGAATCCCTCTCCCAGAGAATTCCCGCAAACTGAAGGGTATGGGAAAGAGGATGGTCTAAGCAGTGAACTATTTAATCCTTCCACTTCACTTAGCACTGGCATTGTTTTAGCTGAAGCACTTCTCCCAGTTTTGGACAAGACCTTCCATGTCTCACACTGAAGATGTGGGCCACTAAGCAGAGTCTAGAGAAGCAATGATGGTGACTGGAGTACAAGAAGATATGGCTTATGAGGAAAGATTGAAAAGACTGTTAGTTTAACCTGAAGAAGAAAAAGAAGTCTGGGAAAGGGACTTCAGTCTTTAGATACATGTATAGCTCTGGAACGAGAAAATGAGTCATCTGCACTTCATGTGAGGGGCAGACAATAGTAAAAATAACAGGCTTAAATTATATCAGGGAAGAATCATGTTAACTCTTTGGGAAGCTAGTGGTATGGCTAATACACCACTGGAATAGAATCCCTGAGGAATCTCCACCTTTGAAGGTTAAACACACACATCCATCAAGAATGATGTATTTAATAGGGTTTGTCTTTTAGTGTATAAATTGATCACCTGAAGAGCTTTTTATCAATTCTCTGATCTACACCAGAGTTGCTGGGATCAGAACACACTTTGCAAACATTTTTCAAACACATTCAAAGAGAAGTTTAAAAAAATCCTATTTCAATTACACCAGGTTTAAAAAGATTGCACCTCTAAAATACAGATTTATCACCTTTTTGATGGAAAATACATTTCTAATTATTCTAATTACTCATATAGAAAATGCTTTTCACTAAGTCTAGACATGCCTCTTTACACATTTGAGAGGCTTAACTAGTGCTCTCCTGACAGCCACCTAAGAACACATTCATGTCATTATGTCATGTGTATGAATGGCAATAACTAATTTTCTTTCAACAATTTCAGGAAGCTTTTATTAATGGAGTCCTGATTGTGCCCTTAATCAGATAAAGCATCTGTTGAGATGCCAGGCAGCTCCTGCAGCAGGTAGTTGCAGTGATTACATGTCTACAGCACAGTAAGACCCTTCTACGCAGCTGTACTTTGCACAGATCACTTCAGTCCAATAGATCACAACAGGAAATACTGTAGGTATACCTATGCAAGGATTTTTGGCTTAATCATTGAAGTGTGCAACCTTGGAAAATGTGTCTCTGTGCCTTGTGAGATCACAGCAACCCACAACTGTACTGCCTGTTCTGATGTGGAATTAAGCTAATGCCTTGACTTTCAGATTAAGCTAACTGAAATAACTCTAAAATACTGGTGGGCAACAACTGGTTAGGAATAGGCCTGCTCCCCCAAAAAACTCCAATTCATTCCTATTTCCTGTTTAAATCAGTAGTAACTCTTAAGCACTTAACATCTTTAAGGGAAAAGTGACTTTAGAGAACAAAAGTTTCCCATGCAGAACATATCTAATAATCCATGTGATATGGGAATATTGTGTAGAGCTGGACACCTTGCTTTGTTCAATTCTTACACCTTATTTGGAGATACAAATTATTTTATGCTGCTGCAGTTATCCCTCCTCTGGTACACAACAAAGTTAGTTTGGGTGTCACTACCATGTACAGCAACCTCTGGAAAAGACCCTTTGGGAGTATCCAAGGTCCTAATCAAAACTGCCTTAGCATCTGTGAGTAGAAGGCAGCAAACAGATTTCCTCTAGACACCATTTTCATCCCATGTTTAACAATCATTTTTCTTTTACCATAATGAACTTTGCCAACTAATAGTTATTTACATGAGCAGAGTCTCTTGAAAAGATTGATGAAATGGTAACTCCACGGAAATCTGTAAATAATCAAGTGGGAATTTAATTTATTAAAAAGATTGTGTAGATATTAAACTGCATTGTAATCTTCTCTAAAAGACTTATTATGTATCACTTGTGCTTCAGTTTTATAAGCTTTTTTCCTATTGCTGCCAGACTCAAACAAGAGATTATACATGTTTAGACAATTCCATTTTCTGTATTTCCATCAGTTAAACAGCACAAGTGGGCAGCTATTAATTTAATTCTTTGGTTAGTACACTGGTAGGCTTTTGAGGGTTGTTACTGTTAATTGTAACTTGGTGCACAGGTGCTCACTCCAACTTTTGTGTGTTCTGAGTTCTGCTTATTAAAAAAAAAAAAGTATGGAAAATACATTTTTTAACAAAACACATATAAATTCATATTAATCTGTATTTTTCATACTTTTAGAATAGTCTCTGTATATAGTTCCCAGATGGCAAGTTAACTGTAAAGTCTGGTTTACAGTGATGACTGTAAATCCAATTGTGTTTCTTAGAAACTGTATTTAAAACTATTTTTTGACCTTTAAATTACTCTAAAGTAAACAAAATAACTAAATGCGTTTTTCTACAAAGAAGGAACCATGCTGTGAAGTTATGGCATAAACAGTAAGAATAGGGAAGGGAGAGGATAATGTATGAACATTAGATAGACAATACTGCCAGCCCAGCACCATGTTTGTATGCATTGTCATACCCATTCACATTGTTTGGTTTCTATAAAGAACACTCTATAGAACAAAATTTCTGAATGGAAGTTCATCTTAAATCAGACGATAGCGTTCTGAAGTGGGGCATTTTTTGGTTTGTTGGTGTTAGAAATCAACAATAATGTGTTAGGGCCTCAAGCTGCTTTTCCTAAATCCCTCCCAAATAGAAACCAGTAAACCTTTCCTAAAGCAGGATGCCTCTCTTAAAAACTGTACTCGCTACTCTGAAACCATGTCAGGTATGCTTTGCCCTCTTCAGAAAACTTCATGTCTTCTTGGATGAATTCCTTGAAACACAGATGGTTCTTCATGAAACTCAGAAGTTCTGCCAAAGGCTGCAGAAGCGCTTGCACAGTTCTGTCAGTCACAGCTCTGCCCACAGCCCTCTTCCATCAGCGGGCACAGATGCCATAGACTGACTTCAGCTTGTAACTTCTCAAGGCCTCTCTCAGACGCTGTATGTATCCACAAAACCACCAGTACTTAAAACCAGAATTTCCAAGTATCTGGGTTTACAGCCTCACCTCAGCACAAGACTTTTATGACAGGTTGATGAAGCAAAACCACTGAAAAGGTCTCTTAACCTGGGGAATGCCCAGAGGAAACTCTCAGTTGCCATATACTGATTGATAAATCACATTAAGAAGTAATCTGCAAATATACAGGCACAATAGCTAAAAAAATTACATTATTTGGTTTCACTCTATGACTTTAACCAGATCACATCAAACTCTGTGGCTATTTTTCCCATTTACTAATGACCAATGATCTTCACTGGATATATTTTATATAATCTGTGAATTAACAAATATATTCATCCAGTAACTTATTTCAGCTACAGGTATTGCTGAGAAACAAGCCAAACCAATGATGTAGTGTAGAACCATGTGCAACTATTACAATGCTTATTAGCAGTCATACGATTATGTCTCTTAAAAGCCGAATGGACTGCAAATGCAATGTTTATATCAACTCTTCTATAGCAAAACTTAACCATATTACCATAGGGCTACTCAACTGCTTTTCACTGAAAAACATAAAAGCCATGGGATGAAACCAGCACACAGAGGTGATTCAGATCTGGTAAACCAACTATCCTCCTTGCTGGAACAAGCATGATTACACTGTAGCTGCTCCTCAGTGCTTGCAGATCCATTTGCATGCTCTGGGAGAATCCGAAGACCTTTAGAAAGAATGCAGCAGGCATCACACACCAGGACCTTAGTAAGGGCTGCCATAATGTACTCACACTCTGAAGTCTTACTGAAGCTTCTTTGAGTAATTCAGATGTAAGTATGGATGTAGAACAGCACCAGTTCCAGATCCAAATGCTATAGCTACAGCTCTCTCTGCGCTACAAGCTCAATGTAGATTTTCTACATAAAAGGGATTAACTCCAAATTTAATATAAAAATAAATTTAAGAAATCCTAGTACAAACTAGATAATATATTTTCCTTCTCTTTTGCTCCTCCTAGTTCTTTGGCTTTGTTAGGTTTGGGGTTAGGTTTTTAAGTCTGTGTTTGGTATTCTAGGCTCTTTCAGTACTACTTTTTAGCTAACCATATTATTTTAGATAACATGCCACTATCCAGAATGGCCTTCAGGCCTTTAGTTAACAGAATGAATCATTTCACAGAGCAAACCCTGAATCAACAGGTTTGGGGTTTTTTCTGCTTATGATACTTTCATTCAATTTGTGATGTTTCTGTTCTGCCTAACATCAAGTAAACCTTATATAAACACAGACATCTTTTCAGTTTGCCACAAATATACATAACATACTGTATACAAACCCAAGGAACTACATGCAACCTCCTATGTTTCTTTTACAGTTCTGTCATGCATACTTGTAAAACATAACCTCAAACATAAAGTACACAGGGATCCACTGGACTTCTTTAGTAAGAGGAGGTTCTTCAAATCAAAGTTGAAACACTGTCATTCTGCCACTGAGGAGTCTCTCAGCCAAGACATGACCTTCCTCATGGCAAGCTTTCATGGCAACTTTGCATTGGTCTTACTACTCAAGTCAATAGTAACGGGCACTACAAAAGTGTTTGGCAAATATGACCAAATACAAACAGTAGCTAGAAACACAGTCATCGTTTTTTTAAGTCTTGATCATTTTTACCTTGTTTTCACCTTGATGCCTCCAGCGGCAGAACGGGACCTCAAATATGCAGCTTGCACGAGGACTAAAGTACATGAAATACAGTTATGTTGGCCAGAAGGGACCTCTTGAGGTCTCTAGGCCAATCCCCTTCTCAAAGCAAAGCCAACATTTATGTTACAACAGGTTTTTCAGGACCTCATCCTGCCACATTGTGAAAATCGACAGAAATGGAGATTCCAGAGCCTCTCTGGGCTCCTGTTCCAATGTTCAGGAGTACTCCAGGTGTGGTGTCACAAGTGCCAAACAGAGAGGATCACTTCCGTGTACTTGCAGGCTATGCTCTTGCTAACACAGCTCAGGCTGAAGTTGTCCATCTTTGTCAGCAGACCACAATACTGATTCACATTCAACTTGTCCCTTAGGACTCCCATGTCCTTTTCCTTAAAATAGCTCTTGGTCCTGTTGGCCCCTAGCCTTCATTGATGCATGGGGTTAGTCTGTCACAGGCAGCAGGCTTTAATTTTTATTAAACTTCACCAGTTTTCTTCCAGTCCATCTTTTCAGACTGCCAAGATCCCTCCAAGTGGCAGTTCAACTGCCAAGTAGGTTGAAGGCTGCCCACAACATGGTATTGTCTGCAGACCCGCTGAGAACACACTCCACCCCTCAGCCAGGTTGTTAATGCAGAACTTATTGGCCCCAGTATCAGCCTCTGAGAAAAGACACCCACAATTTGGTGACCCACTGGATATCAGCCTGCTAACCAGTATTCTCTGACCCCAGCTGCTCAGTTTTCCACCAACCCTGTAGTGTTCCCATCCAGCCTGTATCTCCCCACTTTCTTTCACTACAGGGATGCTAAGTGAGATCATGTCAAAGACCTTGCTAAAGCCAAGGTAAATTACATCTACTGCTCTTCCCTCATCCAAGCCAGCTCTCTCAGAGAAGGTAACCATGACAATTCAGGTTCAGTGTGCCCTTGGTCAATCCAAACTGACTGTTCTCAGTCAGCATCTTGGTTTTTATGCACCTGAAAAGGGAAGGAGGCCAATATGGAAGATTTGCGTCATAATTTTCCTGGGAACTGCGGCTAGGTTCACCAGCCTATCGTGCTCTGGATCCTCCTTCTTGCAAAAAGACAATTTGCCTTTTTCCAGTCATCTGGAAATTTTCTCTGATAAACACAACCTTCCAAAATTTAAATGGTCAGCAGCCTTGCAGTAATAAAGACCAGCTCCTTCAGCTCCCCCAGATGCATCCCACTGGGTCCCATGAAGCAGTCTTTGTCCAGTTTGCTTCTGTAGTCCTCAGTTCTGTCTTCCTCCAACATGGTTAGTATTTCTCTCCCTCTGACTGTGCCACTAGACTCAGGGAACCTCAGAGGCTTGTGAGCAGACCTTGCTAGTAAAAACTGAAACAAACAAGGCACTGAGCACCTTGGATTTTTCTATGCTGTTCTTAGGTAGGTCCCCTACCTTGTCATAGTGTGCCCACATTTTCCTTCATCTTTCTTTTGTTGCCAAAATAATTACAGACACTTTTCCTGGTATTGTTCATATCCTTTGCCAATTTCAACTCCAGCCGAGCTTTGGTCTCTGAACTCCATCCCCCCATGTTTTTATACTGACTGGCTAGCTCATCCCAGCTTCCTTTCAAACCCTCCTTTTTGATGTCTGAGTTCAGGCAAGTGTTGCTCATTTGGCCAAGCTCTTCCTCTGCCAATTCTGCTCACATTTCATCTCACTGGAGAGACTGGTTTTGTGCTATAAGCATGGTGTCTTTGAGTATTAGCTCATTATTTTAGGCTCCATCACTTAGACAGGCAGGTTTCTTGACCAAGCCCTCTTCCTTTCTTCTGAAGTCCAGAATCTTTTATTCTGCTATTTGTCTTCCTCACTCCTTTTGGAATCTTAAGGTCCTGGAGTCATTGCTGCCAAGGTTCTCATTGCTGCCAAGGTTGTCCTTGACCTGTACATTGCCTACTAGTCCCTTCTTGTTTTTGAGTAACAAATCCAGCATCTGAGGCAAAAAAATTGTTCTTGATGCCCCACAGAAATTGGCTGGATTGCTTCTACCTCACTGGGTGAAGTGTCTTTGCATTAGAATCAGGGGGAAGGCCAACAGGGCAGATGTTGTAGGAGGAGTCTACTGTAGGCCACCCACGCAGGACAGAGAGGTGGATGAAATATTTTATAGGCATTTAGGAGAAATCTCACGATCATTTGCCCTTGTTCTTGTGGAAATACAACACAGCAGAGCGGGACCAGTCCCAGAAATTCCTGGAATGTGTGGGAGACAACTTCCTGATGCAGCTGGTGAGAGAACCAACTAGATAAGGTGTCTTGCTGGATCTCCTCTTTGTGAACAGAGAAGGACTGGTGGGTGATGTGGCAGTCGGAGGACGACTAGGGCACAGCGATCACTTAATAGAGTTCTCTGTTCTTAGAGAGGCCAGGAGAGGGCTAAGCAGAACTGACATCCTGGACTTCCAAAGGGCTGACTTTGTCTTGTTTGGGCACCTGCTTGACAAGATCCCTTGGGAGACGATCCTGAAGGGTCCAAGGGTCCAGGAAGGCTGGGCACTCTTCAAGAAGGAAGTGTTAATGGCTCAGGAGCAGGTGGTCCCCAGGTGCTTTAAGAGAAGCTGGCAACAGAGAAGACCACCCTGGCTGAACAAGGAGCTTTGGGCACAACTCACGGAGAAAAGGAGAGTTTAAAGCCTTTGGAAGAAGGGGCTAGCCACACACAGTGACTACAAAGAGGCTGTGAGACTATGCAGGGAGGAAATCAGGAGGGCTAAAGCTCAGCTGGAAATTATCTGGCTTTAGCAATCAAGGACAACAAGAAAGGTTTCTGTAAGTATGTGAGCAGCAAAAGACAAAGGAGAACCTCCATCCCCTGCTAGATGCAGGAGGAAACATGGTGACAAGCGATGAGGAGAAGGCTGAGGTCCTTAATGCCTTCTTTGCCTCAGTCTTTAATAACAACTCTAGTTGTATTGAGGGAATCCATCCTCCTCGGTCAGAAGACAGAGACAAGGAGAACGACCCCCCCGCAATCCAAGAGGAGATAGTCAGTGACCTTCTGCATCACACAGACACACACAAGTCTATGGGACCGGATGGGATACACCCAAGGGTGCTGAAGGAGCTGGCTGGGGTGCTCGCCAGGCCACTTTCCATCATCTACCAGCAGTTCTGGCTGACTGGGGAGGTCCCAACAGATTGGAAATTGGCCAATGTGATGTCCATCTATAAGAAGGGTTGGAAGGATGATCCAGAAAATTACAGGCCTGTCAGTTTGACTTCAGTGCCTGGGAAGCTGATGGAGCAGCTCATCCTGAGTACCATCACACAACACATGAGGGACAAGATGCTCAGGCCCAGTCAGCATGGGTTTATGAAAGGCAGGTCCTGCCTGACAAACCTGATCTCCTTCTATGACAGGGTGACCTGCTTATTGGATGAGGGAAAGGCTGTGGATGTTGTTTACCTTACTTTAGTAAGGCCGTTGACACTGTTTCCCACAGCAGTCTCCTGGCAAAACTGGCTGCTCGGGGCTTGGATGGGCACATGCTTTGCTGGGCAAAAAAATGGCTGGATGACCTGGCCCAGAGAGTTGTGGTGAATGGAGTTAAATCCAGTTGGCGTGGTGTCCCCCAGGGCTCAGTTTTGGGGCCACTCCTGTTTAACATCTTTATTGATGATCTAGACGAGGGGATCGAGTGCACCCTCAGTCAGTTTGCAGATGACACCCAGCTGGGTGGGAGTGTTGATCTGCTCGAGGGCAGGGAGGCTCTGCAGAGACCTGGACAGGCTGGAGCCATGGGCTGAGGCCAACTGGAGGAGTTTCAATAAGACCATTTTTCCCAATATATTCCTCATGCACGCCACAGGGACTTTATCTCCATCTACAGCACGTGGAGGTTTCGACTGAGCCAGGCCAGCTCGACTGGCAGATCCTCTTGTGTTGACTAACCAGGTAGCCTTTGCTAGATGTGTGTCCCAGTCTTTGAAGGTCCCACCTCCCAGTGCTTTCAGTGTGGATTTTAACAGTCCATTGTAGAGCTCGATCTTCCCAGAGGCTGGTGCGTGGTAGGGGATATGGTAGACCCACCCAATGCCGTGTTCTTCTGCCCAGGCATTTATGAGGTTGTTTCGAAAGTGGGTCCCAATGTCTGACTCAGTTCTCTCTGGGGTGCCGTGTCGCCACAGGACTTGGGTTTCAAGGCCCAGGATGGTGTTCCGGGTGGTGGCGTGAGGCGCTGGGTAAGTTTCCAGCCATCCAGTGGTTACTTCCACCATTGCAAGTACATGGCCTTCCATTGGCGGGTCTGTGGCAGTGTGATGTAGTCGATCTGCCAGGCCTCTCCATATCTATATTTCAGCCATCGCTCTCCATTTCGCTGGGGCTTCACCCGCTTGGCATGTTTGATTGCAGCACACGTCTCACATCTGTGGATGATCTCTGCAATGGTGTCAATAGTAAGGTCCACCCCTCCATCTCAAGCCCACCTGTATGTTGCATCTCTACCTTGGTGGCCCGAGGTCTCATGGGCCCAGCGGGCTATGAACAGTTCACCTTTGCGCTGCCAGTCCAAGTCCACCTGAGCCACTCTAATCTTAGCAGCTTGGTCTGCCTGCTGGTTGTGTCGATGCTCATCAGTGGCCCGACTCTTGGGTACATGGGCATCCACGTGGTGCACCTTCACAACGAGGTTTTCCACACAGGCTGCAATGTCCTGCCACACCTCAGCAGCCCAGATGGTTTTACCCTTACGTTGCCAGTTGCTCTGCTTCCATTGCTGCAACCATTTCCACAGGGTATTCGCCACTGCCCACGAGTCGGTGTAGAGGTAGAGCCTCGGCCACTTTTCCCGCTCAGCAATATCCAAAGAGAAAGTAAAATCAAAGTTTCCCACCCCTGGACCTGATGTCAGCATGGCATGAATAACCCCGCTGGAGATCCCTTCCCCCTCTCTCTCTGCTGGGGAAACTTAACCCTATCCTAGCTGAACCAGGACAATGATCTTCAAGTTCCTTTCCAACCTAGATGATTCTGTGATTCCGTGGGTGGCTCCTCCAGATGTCAGAGCAATTTTACATTCCCAAAGCAGCTTGGGCCTACAATTGTGAGCTTTCTTGTAGTTATTTAAGACTTCATGTGGTTCCTCTTCCTGATCAGGCAGTTTACAACAGGTGCCCCAGCAGTGTTCCCCTTGCTGGTCTCCCCACTGATCCCGACCCCTCAGATCTCAGTTGGCTTGTTGCTCACTCCAAAGAGGAGAGTTCCAGGAAGAGACACTTGTTTGTGTAGAACACAACTTCCACTAATTTTCCTGCCTGCTTTTCCAAAAGAGCTTATATCCCTCTATCACAGCACTCGGCATGAACTTTGCCACCCTGTCTTTGTGATCCCAAAGAGGTCACAGCTCTGCAGCTGTGCCCATACTTCCAGACCCTCTGGTTTCTTTCGTGGGCTCTGTGTGTTCAGAGTGTCACACTCCTTTCTCAGGGCAAGCGAGTGAGCCTCTTGCTGCCTGCTGTTCCAGCCTTCCTCCACACATCTCTTGGGGGTTGTCTCCATCCTCACAGGTTCCCCAGTTGTGAAACTTCATTTTAACCTGGATCTTGAAACACCAATTATCCATAAAATGAACTGTTCACTGTTAGCATGGTAGGCTGTGGAAACAATGAGCAAGAGAGCACTCTCTGCATTCCTTGCAAAACCACAAAACTCAGGACATTATTTTGCTTAAAAACTCAGATACAATAAACCCATATCATTACTGGAAAAAATATTCTGGTTTGGCTTTTTGTCTTTCATTATTACAGAGAGATTATTTTCCTTGTCTATTTTTCTAAACCGGAATTAGTATTTGCATTCCTATTTGAGGTGCAGTGGTGTTAAACCACTGCCCATCTGCTGCAGAATACGCAATCTGCACTATAGATTCAAATGTAATTAATTTATTCACTGAACTGTAAAGTGGTTCTGCATTCTGCTGGAATTTACCAAGTAAAAGAGTCTGAAATTTGATATAAAACTGATTCATTTAAACAGCAAAGGAATAATCCCTTATACTCTTTTTTTTGTTGTTGTTGTAACCTTGAACGGGGCTGTACAGCACTGTGACATCTGTTCTTTCCCTAAGCTGCTACTTAAGTGGCCAGTAGAGCGGTATCATTACACAGACAGGACAGGGGAACGACAGTAAAAAATTTTGCTTAACCGATTGTTTGCAATGCAAACCAGCATGTATTCTTTAGAAAGCTGAAATAATGACTAAAGGTAAACATTTCATGTCTTTTTAAAATATAGAAATAGTTGAATGAAAATATACTCATGGACCTCCTTAATAGCTTGAAGACAGTTCAGACTCTTTTATTATTCTAGTAGGATACAAGGCAGTGTGTATTATTATTTTCACATTTTGTTGGATCAGCACCCACACAGTAATGCAGATACACACCTTCTACCTTAAATATTTCTCTATTATTCTCAGATTATCTGAGTTGACAGACACATCTACACCTCAAACCTAATTTTAAATGAGATAACTTCATTTAGTGTGATGGGTTACTCTTTTTCAAGTACACAATACTCCCACAAGGGTGCAAACTCAGTTTATCAAGAAAATCTTGGAATAGTTAATATTTTCAGGTAACTTCAAATTTTCTTCTTTTAGAGTATATTGTCTTTGAAAAGCTTGATTAAGTTGAACTGTATTAACAGAAACAGTTTTAAAATTAATGTTCTGAGTTGGGTGTATTTATTTCAATCAGAGTTCTGAGAATTTATGTACTCCTACATATTTGCTTTTTTTTTTTTTTATGACTGAATTACACACATGATAACATGATTAACAAATTAAGCATTAGTAATACTGTTTTAAAATACCACTAAAGGCATGTGGAATGAATGCAATAAACGTGTTTGTAAAATCATATTATCAAAAAAACAGAAAATTATTTATGAGAAATGTAAAACTGCTGAAACCTCACCGTTAAGAACTATTAGTCAAACAGAAATATAACATTCTTTAAAATGAAAAAGAAAAAAAATTATGCCCATAACCCCTTGCTTTAAGGCAATTACAATGTAGGTAAAAATGTGAATTAATGGCATGAATTTGACACTCTGAGTAAACCTGACCATATACGGGTATGAAATGGCCAAGATTCTGTACGTGTGTGATCAGTACAAATGTGTACTGCTTGGATAATTGCTCTTATTTAGTTCTGACAAGCTGGTAAGTACAAAAGCTTTAAAAACCGTGCTTCACTATTTTTGTGTCACTGTGTATGGTGGGTGGGTAGGTGTGTGTTCCGGGGAAGCTGCTCCACCTCTGATAACCCAACCAGTCCAACATTCAGAACTTTTAATTCTGCTTCATTTTCTCTCCGTGTAACCGAAAGTGTCGCTGTCAAACCTACGCCATTCCTACTGATGGCATCGGCGCCGCAGCAATCCAGACAGCGTGATCTCAAAAAAAACAGGAGCTGTAGCACTGGAAACTGCGCTCTGGGGGAGAAAACTGAAATCCAGCCTACAGCTCCAAACCCACGCTGCTCCAAAGCGAGCACAACCCGTGGCTAACCTTTTACACCAACACAGCATCTGACGATGACTGTTTCCTGGGGTTTGTTTAAGGTAACAAAAGAGTAATTTCAGGACCAGCGCTCTCAACCTGGAGCTTCCCGTTTCTAGCGCTGACCCCGCGGAGCGCTAGCTGGGGTGAGGCCTCAACCACGGCACGGAGGCGAACCGGCAGCCGCTGCCCCGGTCCACCGCGGCGTTCGGCCACACGCCCGCAGGGGGACGGGGGGGT